TTGATAGATTATTTCAAATATGTATAAATTATTTTCACATATTTTAAGATACGTAAATAAAATCATGTTAAAACAGTTATGAGAAAAAACATGCAATAATTGAATATAAAATTCTTTTGTTTTAACTTACGAATCGAGATGAGTTATTATTACGAGTTGTTTTAGCATTACCAAATGCTTCGAGTACAGGATTCGATTGAACAATTTGATCTTCGAGAGTCATTGATTTCTATAATAAGAAAAATATTTGGTAAACATATATTTATAAATGCGTGTTTTTTCATCAAAGACGAAAGACAGATGGTAGCGTAGAGTGAATTAGGACAAAGTTGTGATTAGATTGATTACGATCATGAAAAAAAAAATACCTTGAAGGCCTATTCACTCTCTCTCCTATCGGAAACCTATTTTTTATCTAGCTGAAAAAGTAGATCTTTGCGTGATAAAGATTTTTTCAACAAATCTAATGATACAGTGTTTATGTTGGTTTTAAAATACAGTTAAGACTTGCTGCTATAACTTAACTAAGCTCAATATTTCAAAATATTGTTTCTGTATTAACATTGTGTGGTTCAATGAATTTCAAGTAACAATTTAAAAAGAATTATATCATTCTTAAAGGTGTATCTTATTATTAGAAAGAAAGATGAATATATAGAGTAATGAGTATTAAAAGTAAATTTAAAATATATTACTTTGCCATCTTCTTCTTTTTTTGTACTAGCAGCAGCGACCAATGCAAAATATTGAATGACTTTTTTCGTATTTTCTGTCTTACCAGCACCTGATTCACCTGTGATTAACATTGATTGATTTTCACGTTCTAAATAAAATGAATCGATGTTATTCAATATTTAAGTTTTGTTTTATTTCTTTTTTTCAATTAGCTTTTATATTTTATTAATATATTTAATTATCATTTTTCAATATTTATTTTATTTTATTTTGATTTAAATTCTATGATATAATTATTATTATTTTTGTTTTGTTTTGTTTTGTTTTATTGCTTTCTATGAAACACTTATCATGAAGATAATTAGTCCTTGTCAATCAACTTGACATCAACAGTCAACAAACTCTTCTCATTAATAAATTTATATCGTTGTTGATAAACATAAATTTGGGTGTACTAGTACCAGTGATTACATATCGGACCATTTAAGGAGATGCTTTTTTTAGCTCTTATTTCTTCTTTCATATATTTCCATTTATTTTTTCTAGTGGTTGTCCTCTTATAGTGTTGAAATAGTGTTTGCTGTTGTTGTTGTTGATAGGTGGTAGATAATCTAACTGTCTTCTCTCCTACACAGTCTGTACGAGAATACGTAAAACAATCTATGATACTGAGTCGAGAATTTTAGGTATAGAAATTATCATTAATTTTCTCTATTGCTCATATGATATTATCATTTGAAACAAAAAAAGATATTTAATATATATATATATATATTTTTTTTTTGTTTACTTACCACGAAGCATATTTGAATATGCATTATCAGAAATAGCATATAAATGTGGTGGTACTTCAGTACGTTTTTTGCCACGATACATAAGTACTGTCTTCAAGGTATAAATTGGTAAACGTTTGTATGGATTGATGGCAACACAAAATAAACCTGAATAGGTCTAAATAAAAAAACACCAAAGAATATCTTAAAAATAAAAATATTAACAATAAAATTAATAAACTTACATAAATGAGCCATCGACCATAACGATCACGTAAATTATGTAAGACAGAAGCATCATTCAAATAAGTTAAATTAGCCATATCATCACAGCAAGTAAATTTAGGTGGATTCATCTGTTGAACATCATCCTTTTTAAGTGTAAGACTCTAAATAAAAAAAAGCAAACCATAAATATTTGTTTTTTCATAAATTTTTTTTTTTTTTTTTGTGAATTTACATACCTCTCCTTTAGATGTTTTGACTGTTACTTGTTCACCTTTTGTGTCAGTAATTTCGGCAGGAACGAATGACTCTTTTGCATCGGGTGCCCAACATTGTTTTTTACCATCGAATGGTTGAGCTTGAAGTTTGATACGTTCTTCAGTTGGTAGAGCTAAGAATGTGAGTGTTTCTTTTAATTCTGGATCATTGGGATCGTAGATAAGACTTTAAAGAAAACAAAACAAAAAAAAAACAATTATTATACTATCTCATTTTCTAATATAAATCTTACCCTTCGATTGACATTATTGTTTTTGAAGAATTCTATTCAATACAATAGAATTGATAATATATATTATTATTTTTTATTTTTTAAAGCTTACTGATAAATCTTTGTCAACTTGATATATGCAGCGCTCGTAGTTCGACTTATGCGAAACACTTGTTTTGTTAAATACCAAGTATTTATATAGTTTCTTGTTTAGTAGTAGAGAGAAAAAAAAAACGTTTATTGAGAAGAAATAGATCTATTTTCTCTCTTAGGTTTTTTTTCTCTCTATCTTACTAAATACATAAATATACTTCCGTTGGTTGGCTAAACTAAACTGGATAGATATCCAAAATTGGAACTAGTATTTTCTAGACGAACAATAATAATTCACTCGTTTTTCTTTTTTCTTGCTATGTCGATGATCAAATGTAGCAGAAACTTCAACACTGATTATATAACGATAGTAATGATTAGCTAGAAAAAACTTACAAGTAGAAAAAGAAGAAAAAAAAAACTTTATCGACAGATCTTTCTTCTATATACGGTATTTATGGAAATGTACAAAACAAGTAGTTGATACATTCTTCAGACGTAGAATAAAAACTAAATACAATGAATCTATATCGTTTATTTACAGTATGAACAAACAAATAGACTGCAAAGAATATTTATTGTTATTTTTTTCTCTATTCAATAGTTATTTCATATATTTTTGTATTATTGTTTTATCATAGAAGAAGTATAACTAAATAGTTATATTCTATTTAGCTTTCAAATACAATACGAATGTCTAACATAATAAAAAAATATACTAATTTATTTTTATGTCAACATATATAAGTAGAAGAAACAAACTGTAATATATATATATAGAATACAACAAAAAGTATATTCAAGATTAAATAAATGAATTATGGATACAAATACAGATGATAAAAGCCTCCTACAATCAGTGGCAAATGTAACAAATAGAAAAATTCAATTAACTATTATTTGTATTGATTTTTCTATTAATTATTAATATGAAATTTTAACAAAAACAAAAAACAACTAAACAATACATTATACTCTAATTTATAATTCAACTAATTCTCTTTCATTATCCAAAATGAAAATAGAATTTCTTAATTATTCATTAATATTATTTAAACAACCTAACCTAACTATCATAAAATAATGCTAATAGTATATTCTTTTTAAGACCAATCCAAAGTCTATTTACATAACTCTATATACAGCTATTTAATCAATCATTACATGTATCAGTTGCGCTTGAAACAATCATAGCAATTGATCCCATCAATCATTTTCCATCAAGGATATACTTCATGTATGTATAGATGAAATTTGAAAGATATAGATTAACATTCTAATGTTATTCAAAAATATTAAATTTAATTCAAACAAGTTCACAAACTTGTTAAGAATAGTTTTAATTTTTATAACTATTAGTCTCTGTAGTAAACTTTAATTGAATAATCAGCCTACACTGTCAAATAGTTTTTATTTGCTTTGACATAATAAGCTTTATCAGTGTTGATGACATGATGGACATGTTAGGCTCTTGTGGTTTCTTTTTTTGCTAAATTTGGTGATGACATGTAAACGATCGACGACAGATCAATGAAATATTTGTCCTTACACTACGCATAACCTTACTCTCTGACTTGCATTAAATTAGATTTTAACTTGGAATATTGACGATAACAGTTTGTTTATACCTAATATTTCATACAAATAATATATAGAGGACAATGTCACACAAACATTTTGTATAGGTCAAATTACAAAAAATTATACAAGGTGAATATTCTCATTTAAAAACAAGATCATTTCAATAAATAGAAATGGTATATATTCATTATTATTTATTAGAGGTATCTAATTAGCATTAGTATTAATAAATACTAATACGTATTCTAATATGATATTTCTCTTGCTTACTATAATATATTTATCTATTCTGTGGAATCAATAAAAATATCTATGTTATTTAAGGAAGCCTCCCCCTCCCTCCTCCCCCCCCCTCAAAAAATGTCAATTTTGGTCAAATTTGTTGATTTCGTGATTTATAGCTCATTAGACAGAGCTAAGTGTCTACTTTCGAATGCACTATAGTTTATTGATTTTATGATGAGATTTAAGGATATTGCACAAGCTTTTCTGAACCGCTCATAGAAGAAGATAAGGCTTTTTCTCAAAATAGGATTTTTTATTTTTATGTTTTCGTGCGTCCCAGATTTCTCCGCCATTTTAAACGCTAGAAAGCTGGGCTTGATGTTAAAATGAAGGCAAAAATTAGTTCTACAACTTAACAGAGTCGGATTTTTCGATTTCCTCATTAATTTTTATAAAAAACCAACTTTTCTGAACCTATCCCCATCGGCTTTTTCATATTTCATCAGAGAAATTTTTCTAAAAACACAAGCTAGAAGAGAATCGAAAAATCGGACCGTGTTAAGTTGTAGCACCACAATCGACTACATTTTAAAACCACCTCAAACTTTCTAGCCTTCGAAATGATGGAGAAATTTGGAGCGCACGGAAACCTAAATTTTGACCTATAACCTTTTGCTAACTCTTCGTAGACTCAATGCATCGATCTGAAATTTTTATTGTGAGCTGTGTAACTCAAGATACACCTCCACTGGAAATTTCATCATGATTGGATGCTCAAAAAAAAAATTTTCATTTTAGAGAGTGAGCTTCCTTAAAATATAATTTATTGTTAAATAAATTCGAACTAAATATTAGCGCAAGAATATTTTGTATGTCATTTTGTTATTGTTATTTTTTTTTTCTTTTGTTCTTTAAGTTTTAATACACACACAAAAGATATGTTTTTATTAAGTTTAATAGTATTTACTAATTTATTTCTCATACCTATTTTATTTCATCCATTTAATATTTGTCGACATTTTATCCATATAGGTCATGAACCATATCATGGCGAATATCTTCAAATTAATTCATATGAATCATATTTATATAAGATAATAGAATATTTGAAATCTTATATTTATATTTCTTCATTAATTAAATCTGAAAATATTTTTCAACAATTATTTAATTTTTTATTTAAAACAAATAAAAATTTATCTAAGAAAATTTTTTATCCAAATTTAATAAAATATACTAAAATGTATATATATGAACATGATTTATCACCATTTATTCAATCATTTTTAACAATGTATATTTCTTATTTTTTATTAACTTATTTTTCATCACTTGTTCATGTTTATCGAATATCATTTAAAACAAAAGAAGAAAAATCTTTAAATAATATTCGTTATCGTGCTAAACAATTAATAGAATCAAATTATATACGATGGATTATTAATGCTTTATATTGGAAATTTATTGGTGTTATTATTTCACATATTTTTTATATTATATCTATAAAAATTCTAATGCAAAGATTATTTATTTCTTATAAACATTTTCATCTTAATCAAGATTTAATTTATAGTTCGTGGAATTTACAAAAAAATATTAAATTAATTTATAAATATGAAGGATTAAAAGCTTTTTTTAGTGGTATTCTATCACGATTGATTTATGAATTTGGTAAGTGATAATAAATGCCAAAAACAAAAATGACTATATTTTCGTTTCATTTCATTGAATTATAATAGTTAAGTGTAAAAAAGAATTAGTAGTCAATTATTCACTGATCTCTAATAAAAATTGATAACAAAATATTTGATCAGTAAAATAGATTTAATGATCAGTACCTAAATTACCAATAAATAATAAGAAAATGGATTAGTTTTCTATATATTGTTTAATAGAAAAAAATTACAGATTTTATCAGTAGAAAAATAAGTTTTATAAGTAAAAAGTATAATTTAGGATAAGAAAAATAAATTCAAAGAGTGAATGAATAAGAAAATAAAAATTGAATTATTGCACTAGCAAAACAGATTTGGTATTGCTGGTCTACTTCATTTTATTCTCTGACCGATCGGCACTGGTTTTGCTGCTGCTGCTGGTTTGCAATATTTACTAGTAAATCATTTAATATACTGGTATTATAATTATTTAGCTTACTAATCATTTGATCTATTTTACTGATCACTTAAATTATAGCCATAAAAATTCTAGATGTGTAATTCATAAATCAATTTTAATATTATCAAGAGAATTTTTGAAACTTTATAAAGTATCAGTGTCCGACTCGGGTCGGATCGGGTCACGAAAAAACATATTTGACCTCGAATCAGGTCGGGTCGGGTCACGAAAGATTTACGAATTCCGAACTTCACATAAGAAAAGCAGCAATTTTAGATGAGATAATCATTTCTTTATTTCGAATACCTATAGAATATGTATCGATTTACTGAGAAGATTATCAATGTCTGAAAAAAAACTCACTTTGATTGGCCAAAAACTATCCCTCACCTCGGGTCGGGTCAAGTCAGGGCAGGTCAGGTCATGCTCGGGTCGGGTCGGATCACAAAAAAAGTAACCCGTGTCGGACACTGTAACGTATGATAGAAATTGATTGTTATATGAGCATAAGATTTGAACAAAACAATTATTTTAAATCAAATGACAAAATTATTTTCTCTTTTGCATCTAGCAATATTATATTTCTTTTTCTTGGCTAAAGTTAAATTAATCTTGCTATTTTATAATATGCAAAATTTTCATTTTGTTTTATGAATTGTATTCGAAACTCTATCATAAATAGAGACACAAAAAAAAACATTTTTATTAAGTTTTTTGTATATGCAAAGATGATAATCGAGTAGTATATTTTTTTGCTTATCAAATATTTGGTCGGTCATAGAAAGACCAAACAAAAGGAAAAATATCGGACGGGTAAAATGTCGTAACTACAAAAATATTGAAAAAATTAATGAGGTATGGATTAGCGTACTGCAACCCGTAAATCGAATGCCCGTACCTGAGTACAGGTCTGAAAAGGTAATGATTTGTAGCCAATACAATCTTCATTTTTAATAGTACGATTCATAAAAAATTTGAAAATATGTATTTTTAATATTGCTATTCAATAGCGATATCCTTGGTTACATAGTTGATTGGTCGTTCTGTTCAACTATCAGCGATGTGTGAGAGTAATGCCACTCAGGGATCGGGTATGAGCATGAGTAGAGTGCGGACAAATAATTTCTGTTCGAGTTGGATACGTGTACGAAAATTTGTACCTGTGCAGTACTCTAGTGTGAGTGTGGATTTGGTTCTTCTTCTCATCAAAATGCTACACTGACACCCACCCTTTAGATTTAGGTATAAGAGTACAATAAACCAAAACAACTACTACTCAATGTCGTATAGATAATCTTGATGAACAATATTATAATGATTTTATAAGCGTAATGAAATATTTAGATGGTTTGTCATTTACAATTACTAAACAGAAAAAATGACATTATATTATTTGTTTCTTTTTTATCTCTTGACTTGTGTATGATCTATGATATAATGTTAGTATTATACCAAAAATAAAGAATGTTTTGTTAGTTGAAATTTTCGATATATTTTCTTTCGGCTGTTCTACAGCATAACAAATATTTAAATCTGATTAATGAAAACATTAACGGGTGGAGCAAAAGTTTTGCATTAATTTTGCTTTTGATATAATTCAGCGATGCAATGTCATGGGCACTTGATGTTTGTTTTTTTGTTAGAAAGAACAAAGTGTCTAGTGCAAAAATATATAAAAGAATTTGTTTGGAAATGTTTTTCGAAGCTCACAAAAGGCACTGAAAAACTATTTCGTAACTTTTTTGACCTTAGAAAATACTTCCTATAATTAGACAGATTATCTTTTTATTCATCTAATCCATATTTTATTATGTAAGGATCGAGCATTATTACTGCACAAAAAGAGATTTTCTACATGTTTTATAACGATCGAAACGAACGCTTTTAAGATATCATCTAAGTCACGGATTTTTCATCACTGTCAACATCTGTCGAAAAGATAAACTCTACTCCGAGAGAGAGAGATTGTCAGAAGCTATATATTTTATATGAAAAAGAAAGTTTATTGAGTCTTCTACCAATCGATATTATTTGGAATAGGACACAGCTTCCCTGTCAGATATTCAAACAAAAGTTTATTTTCGTATTAAAAAGTCAAATTCGAACAATTAATTTTAACTTAAATCAAATTGTCTTCTGTTCATTCTCTTGTATGCTATATCAATTATTTTAATACTAAATATAAGCATTCGTTGTAGTGAACAATTGTATATAGATGGTACTCGAAAGTAGATAATGAAACAGCTTAGACAAATATTTTCGGATTAAAAAAAAATAATCAAAGTTACGGAATAGTCTTTCAGTGCCTTTTGTGAGCTTCGAAAAACATTTCCAACCAAATTCTGTTCTATATTTTTGCACTAGACACTTTGTTCTTTCTAACAAAAAAAAAAAAACCATCAAGTCTCCACAACATTACATCGCAGAGTTATATCAAAAATAAGATTAATGTAAAACTTTTGTCCCATCCATTATTATGATAGAAAAATAGCTTTTTCTTTTATCTTTTCAGAGAGAATTTTATAATCAAAAGTCAGTTAAAATAATTAACTATTACTCTTGTACTTTTGATATCATCATAAAATTTTGAACAGTCGTCTAGTGTTATCAAACTGTAAATACATAATATTCAACGTCTCCGCAGTCATTGATTTGATTATTCGTGATATATCAAATAATATGTTATAGTCTATAAAAAAAAAAAAGAAAAGAAATAATCACAAGATCGATAAGAATTATCTATAAGACATTTATATTTCTTTAACCTTGTTCGATCTCATAAGAATATGTTTATTACGAAAAGATCACATTTAGAATGAAAATGACAAATCAAGTTCATTCGTTTCTAAGTCAATCATACATAATCGAATTTCTAAACAATCGTTAATTTCTTATATAAACATAAATCTATTCTAATTTTATCTATAATCAAATCAATATTAAACATTGAAATATACATTTTTTCTTTTGTAGGTATTACTCTATTACCACGTTTAATTTGGTGGCCATTTCGTTCATTTTTCTTTCATTCAACAATAAAATCTTATTTTCGTGCATCATCAATCGAACTTTACTTTATTCAATGTATATGCGAAAATTTTCTTCGATGTTTTTCTGTCTATCTTCAAATATTTGCTCGTATAACAACATTAGATATTGTCAATCAAATGCATGAACATACCAATATAAAGAACTATCCTCTATTATCACTATTACGTCATCATCATCATCATAATATTAAACAACCTTGGTCATTTCTTCTATCAAT